GCCCGAGCTCCCGCAGAGAAGCAGAGAAGCACTTGTGTGGGTATCTGCAGAACACGGCCGAAGGCTGGGATCATTTCCCTGTTGGTGGACAGTGATCCGGGTCCAGAAAGGGGTTGATGGACTCCCGTGACTGAGAAGTCTAAGGGCAGAGCGGCCTTCAGGAACAGCTGGCTCCAGGCGTTGGCAGGTCCTCGGCATCTGCCCTCGCCCACGTGGGGGCCCTGCTCCCCTGTCTGGGCCTCACTTCAGGCAGGACCTATGAAGGGGTGGCGGGGCGGGCTGCACGGCACCCGGCCTTCACCCTAATAGTGTCGCAGCCCGAGGAAGAGCCTCTTTCCTGATGATTTCCGCAAAAGACCCCGGCACCTCCAAACAAACCAGAGAGCTAACGGGCACCACAAGCCTGCTGCCTGCCGCGGGTCACAGGGCACGTCTGGACCACTGGCCGTGACCGAGAGGGGCCCGATTTGGGGGTGGGGCCTGGGCCGTGCACCTGGGCCGGGTGAACTCAGCCCCTCAGGAATCCCTGCACCCAGAGGGCGGGAGGGAGAGGTGGTTCCCGGAGGAGCTGGAGGGTGAGTCATCGAGGGATGGGTGCTGCCCAGCTCCCTGCGGCTCTTTGGACTCCACCTGCCCCGGGACTGGAGTGTCCTGGGAGCCGCCCTGCGGGCTCCGGGCTCCGGTGTGCGCTCACTCTCACTGCTTGGGCAGGTGGCGTTCTGTCCTGCAGATAAGACGGCCGCCACAGCTTGGCGCCTTTGTGGACTCTGCTTCCTCACCGGCAGGGTGAGGGTGGGGAGTTGGGCTTAGGGGTGTGGCCCGTGTTCTTTCTGGGCCCTGACTTCTGTGATCTCAGCTCTCCCTGGGGAGGGGGCAGGGGACAGAGTGATCAGCCTGCAGCCCGGAGGGGAGGGGAGGGGAGGGGAGGGGAGGGCTTGGGGCTGTGCCCTACCGTCTGCCTGCCACTGCGGTTGACTTTCAGGAAGCCTCCAGCCCCTGGCTGGCTGGGCCCCTGGGTGGGGCCGGGCTCCCCGCAGGCAGGGCTCCCCCCACCTCCCCCAGGCTGGGCCCCGAGCAGCACAAGGGGGCAGATTGTTCCCACCGAGGTGCCTGGGCCAGCAGACACAGCGGCCACTGTGTGCGCTCCCGAGGGTGTGGGCTGAGCGCTCGTCACCGCTGGCCGGCGTGGAGGGCCGGGTGCGGGCTCCCCGCCCCCCCTGGGCCCCAGCCCGCCTCAGCCGGGGGGAGACGGACGTCAGAGGGCACAGGCGGCCGCTTGTTCTTCGGGCCTATCCCCTCCCACGGGGGCCCTGCCCCTTGGACCACCTTAGCTTCCCGAGACCCACCCAGGCTGCACGAGGCCCTCGCATCAGACCTCCGAGGCCCTGGGCGTCCCTTCCCCACCCTGTGCAGAGAGGGAAACTGAGGCCCAGCGAGGGCAAAGCAGTCAGGACGATGGGCTTTGAAGCCACACCGGCCGGCCTGAGTTCAACTCCCAGTCCTGTGTGACCTCGGGCAAGTGGCTTGACCTCTCTGAGCACCAGTTCTCTCACACGTTAGCTCTTCATAGCAGTTCCTCCTCGGTGTGAGAGCGAAGGGGAGGGCTCAGTGTCCTTCCCAGGCCCCTCTGGGGACCATCTCAGCGGCCATCTCGGCCATCGTCCTAGGCTGCGTTTCATTGGCTGACCCGATCACACCCCTGTCCCTGAGCCAGGCCCTGGGCTCTGATTGGCTGGGTCAGCCGCGCACTCCCTCCTCCCTCCCCTGCATCTTGGGGCCTGGGAATGTGGGCGGGCTGGCGCTGCTGCAGGACAGTCCTGGAAGGGCGGGAGGCTGTGACTGACCCACAGAGGCCCTCAGCAGACACTGCCTCGTTCACTGGCAAAGCACCTCACACCGCACGGGCTCAGTCACCCACGGCTGAGAGAGGAGACAGGGAATGAGCGCACCCGGGGCGGAGATGGGGGTGGGGTGGGGTGGGGGTGGCGGTGAATTGGGGGTGGGGGGGGGGCTGGGGCTCTGCATTAGGTCCCTCCTGGGCGGGCCGGTACCTCTCGGAGCCTCGCACAGATGGCTCACACCTGCCCTCATGGCCTGCGGGCAGCTGCGCCCTGGCAGCGTGCTAGTCCCCAGCTGCCAGCTCGCTATTGGCTGTGGCTGCCGTTTATCTTTAGCAAACGGAGCCGGAGCGGGGCCTGGGCTCTGGCCAAGCAGGGCCTGTAGGGGAGTGATCCAGAGCTCAGGCAGCCCGTGTTTGGATCCAGCCGCCACCTCCCGGTGCTGTGTGACCTCCGGCCAGCCTCCGTGCGTCTCTGAACCACAGCTGCCCCTCTGTCCGCGGGGGATGCCGGTTTGTCTCTGGCACTGGACGAAGGGGCGAGAGGCCGTGTCAGGCCTGCCTGGCGCCCGGGTAGGGCGCGGAGGTCGCTGTGTTCACCGCAGCCGTGATTCCTTCCCCGGCGGCCTCAGGGGACGGATCGCGGCCTCAGCCATTTGGCTCCGGCCTGTGTGCCGTGGCCGCCGCTAACGCCTTCTTGGCAGGCGCCGGCCTCTGGAGTCCGGGCCAGGTGCCGGGCAGCGAGGCCCCGTGCGCACACAGCAGCCCTGCCAGTCCGTGGTCGCGCTGCCTTGCAGGGCAGCAGGTGAGCGGGTTTTGTGCGATCCTGGAAACGGCCCCACCTGCCTCCTCCACCCCCAGAGAAAACTCCCCTTGAAGGAAACCCAGAACAAGGGGCAGGTGCTTCCCGCACCAGCCAGCCCTCAGCAGTGAAAGGGGAGGGGGGGGTGGCCTTGCCCAGCTCAGCCCCTGCTGCCCTCTGGCTGGAGGCTGGAGGCTGAGGCTGGAGGCTGAGGCTGGAGGCTGGAGGCTGGAGGCTGGAGGCTGAGGCTGGAGGCTGAGGCTGGAGGCTGGAGGCTGAGGCCGGAGGCTGGAGGCTGAGGCTGGAGGCCGGAGGCTGGAGGCTGAGGCTGGAGGCTGAGGCTGGAGGCTGGAGGCTGGAGGCTGAGGCTGGAGGCTGGAGGCCGGAGACTGGAGGCGGGGAGAGCCTCGCCAGGGCCCCTCTGACTCTCCGCCTTCCTCTCTGAGAAGGAGCTGTGTCTTACTGCTCTTCTGGGTTCGGAGAGGACTTTTGAACGTTGTGGAGGGATTTATAAAAATATATATATTTTATTGATTTTTTTTTTTACAGAGAGGAAGGGAGAAGGATAGAGAGTTAGAATCATCGATCAGCTGCCTCCTGGGGTGTGCCTGCATCCAAGGTACATGCCCTTGACTGGAATCGAACCTGGGACGCTCCATCCACTGAGCCAAACCAGTCAGGGCTGGAGGGATGTTTTTTTTTGAAATATATTTTATTGATTTTACACAGAGAGGAATTGAGAGGGACAGAGAGTTAGAAACTTCGAGGAGAGAGAAACATCGACCAGCTGCCTCTTGCACACCCCTCACTGGGGATGTGCTCGCAACCAGTGTACATGCCCTTGACCGGAATCGAACCTGGGACCTTTCAGTCCGCAGACAGACAGACTCTCTATCCATTGAGCCAAACCGGTCCCTGCTGGAGGGATGTTTGATGGCCCTCTGGAGGGAGGAGAAAATCTGAAAGAGATGAAAAGGCGGTACAAATCAATTAGGGGTGTGTGTGTGTGTGTGTGTGTGTGAGAGAGAGAGAGAGAGAGAGAGAGAGAGAGAGAGAGAGAGAGAGAGAGAAAATCTGACTGCTTAGCTGATGGGGGTTTAAGGTGTTCTGAACAAGTGTTCAAAATCTGAATTGGGGGCGAGGACGCCACCCCGGGAGGGCCGAGGGAGCGGGGTGGGGACTGAGCTGGGGAAAGGCCCCATGTGACATGCCAATCCCTGAGCTGGGCGCCTGGCCAGGGGGAGGGTGTGGGGACTCGGGACGGAGGACAGGGTGGCCGCACACCCAGGAGCCGGCCGGCCAGCATTCCGCCTCGGCTTTGTCACCAGCGGCCCCCGCCCGCCCGGGAGAGGGACAGCGCCATCGCAGGGCCCTGGGGGCGATGCAGGAAGTGGCCCAGCAGAGTGGGTCCCTGATACATGTGGATTTTGCCTCTCGGAGAGCAGAAACACGTGCCTACACGGAGAACAAACGTACAGACGAGTGTCAGATCTGCCTATTGGCACACCCCCTTCTAGAAGGCTCCCTGGCGGGATTCAGCACCCCACCCAGGGCCCACTCCACCTCGGAAGGGTGCTGTCTCCCCGCTGGCCGAGCGGGTGGGCCTCTCCGGCTGGCCCCTGGGCTCCGGCTCCGAGCCTTGGGGCCTCGGGTGCCCCATGCAGGGCTGGCCCGGGCGCTCGGAGGTGTCTGTCGCATCTGGTCCTGGAGAGGTCGGAGCCCTCGTCCGGCAGGGAAAGTGCCAGCATCCTGGAAGCCAGAGGACCCACATTCAAATTCCGGTGCCGCTGCCTGGTGCCAGCCATGCCGCCTCGGCCTGGACTTGCCCGTCTGTGGAATGGGGGGCACTGCGGCGCTGGTACTGTGGGGAGCCCACGAGGGGAGTGCCTGCCCGTCGCCGCCTGGGAGAGCGGGTGGGCAGGGGGCGTTGGCGGTGGTCGGGGCTGCACAGCATCTGTCAGGCCGGAGGGAGCGGGAGCCCTCGGCCTCGCCCGCCGGGCTGCTCCCCGCCAGCGGCCGGGCAGCGCCGTGCCACGCCCTGACATGCGTGTGAGCGCTGATGAAAGCGTCTCTTTCTCCCCTGTCTTTGTGTAACAGCCTCTGACCACATGCATCCAGCGGCTTGGCGTCTTCACGGGACCCTCACCGCCTTCCGCGCTGGCATTTGCAGAGCGTGCCCGTCGGGCGTTTTTATTGGTCTCAGATGTGTTGGGCTTTTAAGACACACACATGGCATGGTTACGCTCAGAACGCCGTCTGTCACGCACGCACGCACGCACGCCGTGAGCCCTGGCCCAGGCCCCGGGCGGCGCGGCCCCCGCCGGGCACGCCTCGCTCACCTCCCCTGTCCCGGCTCCGCAGGCCAAGAACAAGGAGACGGGCGCCTTGGCCGCCGCCAAGGTCATCGAGACCAAGAGCGAGGAGGAGCTGGAGGACTACATCGTGGAGATCGAGATCCTGGCCACCTGCGACCACCCCTACATCGTGAAGCTGCTGGGAGCCTACTACTACGACGGCATGCTGTGGGTAAGCCCCGCCGTGCCCCCCACGGCCGCTCCCAGGCCTCCGGTTCTCAGCGTCTGCCTGAGGGCAGGGCCCGGTGAAGGAGAGAGGGCAGGAGCCGGGTCTGGGTCCCCGGCCGCCCTTGCTGCACAGCCTCCCCACTCTTCAGGGTGGCAGCAGCAGTTCAGAGCAAGAAGGAACTAGAGCCCTGGCCAGCGTGCTCAGTGGTTAGAGCGTTGGCCCCCAGACTGAAGGGTCTCAGGTTCAATTCTTATTTTTTAAAAATATATTTTTATTGATTTCGGAGAGGAAGGGAGAGGAAGAGAGAGGCAGAAACATCAACGATGAGAGGGAATCATTGATTGGCTGTCCCCTGCATGTTGGACCAAGCCCGCAACCTAGGCATGTGCCCCGGCCCGGAATCGAACCCTGGGACCTTCCGTCCGCTGGCCAATGCTCTGTCCACTGAGCCAAACCGGCGAGGGCTCGGGTTCGATTCTTGGTCAAGGTCATGTACCTGGGTTGCAGGTTTGATCCCTGGCCCCGGTCAGGGTGCATGCAGGAAGCAGCTGGTCGATACGCCTCTCTCACATCAATGTTTCTCTGTCCCCCCTTCCTTCTCTCTCTCTAAAATCAATTTTTAAAAACGAGTCAACTGTGATGTATATGGTCATCAGAAAAACATGAGAGTGTGTAGAAAAGCAAAAGAGAGAAAAGGTTAATCCCGTCCACATGTTTATGCCGGAGGTAACCGCCGATAACGCTTGGAATGTGTTTTTCCTGATTTTCTGTATACACACTCCCGTTCCCACCGTGTTGTTTTAAAGAGAGGAATTTGTACCATACCTGTAAGAGACTCGGTGTCGGCGGAGGAGGGAAGTTCCTGCAGCTCGGTGTTCTGTCCTGTGACGCCCATCGCTGACGGGGTCTCTGCTGACGAGCGTGTAGGCGTTCCTTGTTACTGTTTTGGGTATGAACAGCTCTGTGGACATCTCTGGGTTTTGTGTTGTTGCCTGAGAACCGCGTCAGAAGGCTTTTAAGGCGTTTTTAAGTGTCTATTGCCAAGCCGGCCTCACAGAGCCACGTTGGATCATGTGCGGAGGTGTTTTTCCATGCATTGATCCTTCCACCCGTCCTGCTGTCCATCCACACAGTCTGGACGGGACTGCGGGTCATGCTCCCATTAAGGAAAGCATCTTCTGTGTGTGTCTGTGCCCGGGTGCCATGTTCACTGCTTTCTCAGGGTAAAGACGATAAAGAACAGCCAGCACTTATGGAGGGCGTCCTGGGTGCTGGGCCTGTGGTGGGTTGTGCGTGCGTTGTGTCATTGCTTGTTCAGGCTGCGGGGCAGTCCTCTGCACCTCACAGATGAAAATGAGACACAGAGCCGAAACCGGTTTGGCTCAGTGGATAGAGTGTCGGTCTGCGGACTGAAGGGTCCCAGGTTTGATTCCGGTCAAGGGCATGTACGTTGGTTGCGGGCACATCCCCAGTGGGGGGTTGTGCAAGAGGCAGCTGATCGATGCTTCTCTCTCATCGATGTTTCTAGCTCTCTATTCTTCTCCCTTCCTCTCTGTGGAAAATCAGTTTAAAAAAAAGAAAATGAGACACAACGAGGCTCAGGGCCTCGGCCCCCAAGGCCACGCTGCCAGGCAGGGGCAGAGCCGGAAACCCAGACGGAGAGAAAGCACGTTTCGTGACGAGGCTGTGACCGTCTGAGGTTGTCTGAGCAGATGCAGCAGAACTTTCTGTCCCCGAGTTGTCACTTCAGGCGGGTGTTTCTCAGCCCGGCCGTGGCTCTCCGCCCACCGCTTCCTACCCTCCTGCTCCGTAGCCGCCCACAGCCCACGTTCTGCTACTTTGTAAACCCTGAAGGCGCGTCTCCTCCCTGTGGGACGAGGGTTTTAGACATGGAGTCCAGGAGGAGGCCCTAGAACCGGAGGATGGACAGGGACAGGGTGCCAGGCAGAAAGGACAGCAGGAGGAGGCGTGGAGGCGGGGAGGGTGGGGTGTTTGGACGATGCGTGGGGCAGGGTTCGGGCCGCACGGGGTGGGAGGCGAGGGCAGTGGATGCTGTGCTGTGCGGGGCCTCCTGCCTGTTCTCACAGTGCAGCTGGGACGGCAGGGCACCGGGGCCTCGGTGGAAATCCAGGACCAGGCCCCGGCCCACACCCGCTGCGTCAGGACCTCTGGGTGGGGCCCGGCCCTCGGCGGTCCACGGCGCCTTCTGAGTGACTCTGATGCTTCGGTTTGAGAGCCGCTGTTTCCGGGGTGGGACCCAGTGGCACTTTTCCCCAGAGAGAGACACACACTGTGTGTCTTAGACAGAAATCACGTTGGCGGGAGCAAGAGGAAAAGCATTGAGGCCGACAAGGAGGCGGTGAGAATGGACGTGGCCAGAAGCCTGGGGATGTGGGAACGTCAGTGGTCAGGAGAGGCTCCAGAGAAAGGGCCATTTGAACTGGGTCTTGAAGGATGCATAGGAGTTCTCCCAAGGGAAAAGCGAAGGAAGAGAGGACTGCTAAGGAGAGGGACAGACGGCTGCCCAGCGTCCTGGGCCCTCCCCAGCCATGGCGTCCAGGACAGACTTTCCCCCGGGATGGGTGGAGGGCACACACCGGCCCGAGGATTAAGTCCTTTTCCTCCAGGATTTGTAATCTTAGCACAGTCCTTCCAGTGGTTTCTTGGGACCACTTCTGCTTTGGAGCGGGGGGGGGGGTAGACCCCAAATTAATCTAGACTAGTGTCACCCCATGGACACATCATGTGAGCCACATATGTATTTATGCATGTTCTAATGGCCACATTAAAAAGAGCAAAAACAAACCGATGAAATTAATATCAATAATGTATTTACTTAACCTAGTGTATAAAAATGTCATCGGCATGTAAAAATTACAAATGACATAATTTACTTTTTTCTTTTTTTCTTTTATTCTAAGCCTCCAAATCCAGTGTGTTCTTTCCACTAGCAGCGCATCTCAACGCAGGAGCTAAATTTTCATCAGAAATCCTTGTTCATTCATTCATTCATTCATTCCTCACCCCAGGACATCTTAGAGAGAGAAAGGGGGAGGGGAGAGAGAGAAACATCGATCGGTTGCCTCTCATCCGTGCCCTGCCCAGGAATCTGACTGGCAGACTTTTGGTGCCCGAGATGACGTTCGCCCCATGGAGCTGGCCCGGCCGGGCGGAAGTCTATATTTAGACGCCGTGGAATTTATGGCGGCCGTAAAATTGATCTATAATTAGATGTCATAGAGTTTATAGTTGACAAAAGTGATTCATCTCCCCCGTGGTTCCAATGTTCTTAACTGTTTCCCAGGAACAGAAGCTCGTGTCAGGTTTCAAATGAGTTAAAAGTGAATAAAATGATCACTTTTCAGCCCTTGCCCATGTTAAGGCTCAGGAGCCGCAGGTGGTTCGTGGCTGCTGGGGGGGCGGTGCAGGCTGGCAGTTCGGGATGGGCCTCAGGCCCGGGGAAGGGAGCGAGTGCTGAAACCCAAGGCTGACCTCAAAAGTCTGCCCCCAGCATCCCTGGCCCCCAGTCCCCGGCCCTCTGTCCCCTACACCCCAGCCCCAGAGCCACGATTTTGAGGACATACATGCCCCAAAGCGGGAGATGAAGGGGCTGAGAAGGATGCTGGGGAGAAGGGCAGTCTGACGGCTCACTCTATCTGTTAGAAGCCGAGGAGAAAACCCCAGGAAGGGCCATGACCTCGGGTGGCCGGAGAGTAAGGAGGCGGGAGGACCTCTGGGACTGGACGGACAGCGAACTGGAGGGACGTGCTTCCTGTACCCGTGGGTGCAGGAATGTTAGTAACGAACAGTCCCCGCCCCCGGCCACGGTGTGCGGGGACACGGCCACACCGAGGGCCTAGAAAAGAGATGGCTCTGACGAGTCCCCGATGTCATCCTAGATTAAGGTGAGCAGACGTCCTGCTTTTGGCGGGACAGTCCCGATTTTTAACAATTTGTCCCGCGTCCCGCGGCGTTTTAAAAAAGTCCTGATTTTTGGAAAGATTATCGGGGCTGTTTTAAAACACCGCGGGACGCGGGACAAATTGTTAAATATCGGGACGTCTAGTCCCCTTATCTTAGCTGCCTAGGAAGGACGGACAGAGCTCTCCGAAGGCGGGGGCTGACCTTTGCTAAGGGAATGACTCAGGCCTGGGACGGGACGGCCGCCGGGACCTGCCCGGCTGGAATTCGTGGCCAGGCCCTCCCGTGCGGTCCGAGCGTGTGAGGCCGGCCTGCGGCGTAGCCCGCTGAGCTGGTGGCCTGCTCTGTGCCCCTCTCGCTCCCGGGGTCTGGCCCGGGCCCTGGCCCCCAGGCCGGTCACCGCCTGCCGTCCTCACCCCCGGCCTCTCTCCCGCACTCTGGCCCCCGTGTGAGGGCGATCCCCCCAGGGCTGTGCCCTCCCTGCGGCCGTCCCCGCCTTTCCCGGGCTTCGCTGTGAGCACAGCACCCCCACGGGAAGACATGACAGCAGGGCGTGAGCGAGGGAAGATGTGCCCAGGTCCAAAGTCCCACCTTCAGGACGTTCTCTGCCCGGAATCTCTCTGTTGGCTGCCAAACAGCAAAGCAGGGACCCGTGGAGAGCCTCCCCCCTCCCCCACTTCCCCCCCTCCCCCCGTGAATTACTGCTTTTGGTGCTAAATAGCCACCGTCTCCGTCAATAAACAGACATGGTAGGGCTGCCTCTCCCAAACCTCATTCATTCTGCTCTCTCTCTAATAGTCATTACACTTTCTTTTAAATAAAGAAATTGTATTTATGAATCAATTTAATTTTAATCCTCACCTGAGGATACTTTTCCATTGATTTTTAGAGAGAGTGGAAGAGAGGGGAAAGAGAGAGAAACATCGATGTGAGAGGAACACGTCCGTTGGTTGCCTGGACCAGGGCCCAGGCTGGGGAGGAGCCTGCACCCCAGGTACGTGCCCTTGACCAGAATCCAACCCGGGACCCTTCGGTCCGCAGGCTGACGCTCTATCCACTGAGCCAAACTGGCAAGAGATGTT